GTTCTCTCGGGCTGATGAGTCGGGTCCCTCGGCGTGAGGTTTGGGGCTTAGGGCTTGCATTGAGGGTTTTGGTCTTACCTATAGTCTCCATTGTAGTTCCTTTTTTCGGTTTAACCAATTATATATTAAGGAATTTATAAGGTATCCCCCAAAAGGAACTGCAATGGAGACTACAGGTAGAGTCTTAGAGTTGAAGGTCTAGGGCCGGTGTGGCGTTCGGGGTTTCGGCCTTAGGGTTTAGGGCTGCGTGGCTTGACGGTGAAAGGCTTAGGGGTTCAGGATGGTTCAGGGTTTAGAGTTTAGGGTTTAGGGTCTAGGGTTTAGGGTTTAGGGTTTAGGGTGTAGGGTTTAGGCTTCTGAAGGTATGGTGCGGCTTTAGCTCAAAACGCCGAACACTCGATTGAGTTTCAAGGTGTGGGGTTGGTGTACAGTTTGGGTCCCAGAGATTCTAAACCCTGTAGTGAAGGAATCTACATCGTGTTAAGGTTCCGCTATAGCTTAAGGGATATTCCGAGTTTCCTAGTTAGGTAGACAAGAAGCATACCAAAACCCGGCAGAACTTCTAAGACAATGATGATCACCCAAGCATCGAGGAAAACATCGGTTGCGGCCGAGGCACGCGCAGGCAGACGTACGGAACCGCCTCATACGGAGACATGTCCGGGTCATGCACCAGGGGCGTCTTCAGCCAGCCAACAGCGACTTTTTGTCCTTCAGCTTCATATCCTGGCCATAGAATCCCCATCCCAAGCCTTAAACCGCAAAACCTAAAGCCTGAACCATAAAAAGCCTAAACCCTACACCCCGAGTTCGCAGCGAAGAGGAAGGAAGCACAAGCGAGTAAGGGAACCAGCGGCTTCCAGTGCCCAATTGCCGGGTTTCCGAGGCCAAGCTCATCCCGAATTACTGCTGCAGGGGCGTTCATAATTAGAATAGGGTCTTGGTGGTCTTACAACCGATATTTCTAGTAAGGGGCCCCCCCAAAAAATAGTATTGGTAATTATTTAGGCTCCTACATTAACCTCCCCTTTGGAGTCAGAGTCCTGTCTTCTCCAACCACGTATCCCAGATCAAACTGTCGGGGTCTGGATCCGTGAAAGACCACTTTGCCGACACGGCGTCCTGAACAGCTCTCCGGGTGGTGAGCACCCAGGCTCTAAGGCGGTAAGGAGCTTAATGTAGGGGCGTTGCTGATTAGAATAGGTATACTATTACTTTTAATAGTATTCTTCTTCTTTATCATATTCAGGATTAAGGAACCTCCAAAAATAGTATTGGTAATTATTTAGGCCCCTATATATTAGACTTTAAGAGAGACCGGGTTTAGGTTCAACGAATCTCGAGATCAGGGTTTGGGGAATAAGGGCAGGAACCCTAAATACACAAACCCTTACCCCTAAACCGTTCGAGAGGTTTCCTGTCTCAGACTTGGCGCCAAGTCCGTTAGCAACCCTTAACCCTAAATCTTAACGCCCAAATCCTAAACACGATATTCCCCTAAACCCTATAAACCCTAAATCCTAAATCTAAACCCCAAACCCGACACCCTAAACCCTAAATTCCGAAACCCTATAGTCCTATATCTGAACCCCAAACGCAGGTATCGGACTGCCTTGGGGTTGCTTCGGAAGTCTACTCCAGGTGGGGACCGAAACGCCTCCAAAGTCATAGAAGGACCTTGATCTGGTTTGGGGGTTCAGGGTTTAGGGTTTCGGGCTTAGGGGTTTAGGGTTTTGGGCTTCGGGTTTAAGAAAGGGTGTTTAGGTGTTTAGGGGCTAGTCATACAGTAGAATGTAGAAGCCAGAAAGTTGGAACATCACTATCCTCATGCCCTTAAGGTACAGTCTAGGGATCTCAGCACTACTCATCCTAAACCCATGTTCCAACTTTCTGGGGTCCACAAGAAGGGCCTTGATCTAATTGTTGGAATACCTAGACCCCCGCAGAACCTACCTTTTTAAGGACTTATAGAAGGAAATCGTAACAAGGAGCCCCAAAACGGAAGGTTCTTGAGGGTCCAAGTAGGGTAGGGTGTCGGGCAAGGGGCGAGCCTAGAGCATATCTTATGCTATAATTGATAGCAGTAAGGAGTGCTAAGGAATGATATTGGTAATGCTACCACAGCCTAAAGATCCGCCCTAAACCCTATACCCCTAAACCCCACACCCTACACCCTCCAGGCCCTCTGAGCCCTCTAGACCCTCTAAGCCCCAACCCCAAACGGGTTTAGGGTTTAGGGTTTAGGGACCCTAAACGATAAACCCGAGCCCGGCCCCCCCTTTTTGTCAGGTAAGCTCCTCTTTAGAAGCCTCGCCGTCTGGCTTCATCATCTTCTGGCCTGCAGTGGCCAGCCCCAGTACTTCCTTTTGACTCTTACCATTTCGATTGCTATTAGTACTGATGCTATTGCTACGATCATTCCTACTATTGCTAAATTACTATGGGTATGGTCATTATCAAGATTGTGACAACCATTGCCATTATCAAGTTCCTTTCCTATTACTCTCCTTCCTCTTGTTCGAATTCTTCTTATTGTTGCTGCTAGTATTATTCTTATTCTTCTTCTCATCGCGAAACACAAGCTTGCAAAAGCCACTTTTTTGGTATTTCTATTCTCTCTAGTCTCAGTAGTAGTCTAGGAGCCTGAATAATCAGAATAGGGTTTTGGAATATATTATACTACAACTATCATAAGGAACCACCAAAATAGTATTAGTAATTATTGAAGCCCCTATAGTAAACCTTCAGCCCTACACAAGGAATATACCTTAACTCCTAATATTAAGGCCGCTTTTATTTGAGGTCTGTTCCTTGATTAGGGGGTATTGGGCTCTCTGGGAGTAGAAATCTCGGGGCCCTAATAATTCGAATAGGGTTTTGCGCCCGTTATACTGCGTTTATAATAAGGAACACCCAAAAACCCTATTCCATTTTTTCAAGGCCCCTATAATAATCTATGTACACTTCTGGCCTCTGAGCTGCCGCAGGGAAAGGTCCTCAAAGGGCTCCTGGTCGCAGAGGTCCTCTCCGGGAGCTATGGCATGGTTTAGGATTTTGGGTTTAGGATACTGTAGGGGCCGTAGTAATTAGAATTCGGTTTTGGGCTCCTTTATAGTGTAATCATACTAAGGAACAATGAGGAATGCCATAACAACACCAATGAGAGTAATTTAAAGAAGGGCCTTAATGCCTAGAGCAGGGGCTCCCCTATGACTGTCAGAACGAAACACCGAAACGCACAGCGAAGGTCATCATGCGTGTAGGTGACTAGCTTTCGGGAAACGGGTCTCTGAAGGGTTCTGTTCCTTCCGAGGACGCTGGTGAGCGCGACCCCCAAACCCCAAACCCACAACTCCTAAACCCTAGACCCTGAAACCCTGAAACCCTGAAACCCTGAACCCTGAAACCCAAAACCGTGGTACTCTGGTACTGCAGGGCTCCAGGAAAGGATCAGGGGACTTGGTAGCTTGTGCTAGCAACTAAGGCAACTCTGGTGATAATTTCTTATAGCACCGAAATGGATTCTTTCAAGACTACTTACTAAGTCCCTTGATAAACCTTTACAGGAGCCCCATGGATCTCTTAAAGGAATGCTTGAAAGGAGCCCTGGAAGCCTTTAAAATGAGCCCCCAACCCGAATTGAGAACTGCGGTCTTCCCCACACTTGAAAGACTCCGGCTGCTCGGCGCCATCTTGCTCCAAACCTCTCCTAAAACCCTTGTGGTTGAGGGTTTAAGGTCCTAAACCCTAAACCCTAAACCCCAACCCCAGCTTTTGAGTCGGCATGATAATCCCCATAACCCACTTCGAAACCTCTCCTATACTGAATCACGACTCTGAAGGCAACCTAAACTCTTAAACCCTAGATCCTAAACCAATGAGCCGGAAACCCAAGACCCTAAACCCACAGACCAGAAACCCTTTGAACCCTAAACAAGCCCTAAATCCTCCAAACCCTAAACCCTAAACCAAACGTTGATGTAGGGAATCTCGGGTCCTCAGGAAGTGCATCGTCGACGCCGGTGGCGAGCCCCACCTACAGTTGCACCGTCAAAACGCACAGCAAGCTAAGGGTTACCCTTTAATAAAGCGCTTACGATCCTCAAGAATGGGTATTTAAGGCATAGTAGAGCGTAGCTGGGGGGTGCTGGTAGGGTTTGGAGCTTAGGATTTAGGGCTTAGCTCCAGCACTCCTGGTACTCCTTTCTCCTTGGTTTCGAGGAACTCGAAACCAGGGGAAGAAGTAAGCAGCACAAGAACCGAAGTGTGAACCACTATCAACAAGAAATGATGGCCTGCACCTGCTGAAGCCCCAGACACAGCTCGAATACGTCCGAGTCGCAAGCAAGAAGGAGATTGCAGGCAGAATGCGCGCCATCTCCGAAACGAGCGGAAGGACTCTTCCCTAAACCCTAAACACTAAACCCTAAAACCTAAATCCTGAACCCTAAACCCGTCTTCCGTAGTTCTTGAGCCGGCGAAGTTCGCATGTAGAGATTCACGTTCGTTTGAGGCCCCCGATTCCCAGACCCGGGGGTACTGAGGGGTTAGAGGTATTATAGGGGCCTAAGAATAAGAATAGGGCCGCGGGGCCCTCTATACTATAATTATAGGAGCCCCCCAAAATAATATAGGTAACTATTAGGGTCATTTATACTATAATTATAGTAAGGAGCCCTCCAAAATCATATAGGTAATTATGAAGGCCCCTACATTACTTAGCGGTTAGAAGTACTTGTGAAGAGACTTTGCCCACCTGAAGCCTTTTCGCTTCCATGCTGGCCATGCCCCCCCCCCCCAAGCTCTACAAAACTCGACAATCAATTGAACAACCCCGTTAACCCCAAATCCTAAACCCTAATCCCTGGGCCCTAAACCCCTGAACCCTAAACCCCTAAATCCTGAACCCTAAACTCTGGCACTCACAGCCCTTTGACCTCCCACACCCTTCGGGACCGGAAGTCTGCAGTGGGACCTCCCGAGGCTGATCGTCAAGGCACGGAGTACTTGTCGTAGTTGGAGCCCAAGATACCTTAGCTGGCTCTCTGTTGGGGCTCTATCAAAGATGATCAATGTTGATCCTTATTGGGTATTCTTAGAACAGACCCTGAACCCAAAACCCCTAATCCCTAAGCCCTAAACCCTTGGTGGGTTTTCTTAGACCAAAAGGAGAAAACTTGTATTCAGACCCAGTTAGGGCCTCAGTGGGACTTCTGGTTCAGGCGCCCAAATTAACTAGTGCCCTGAACCCCCAAACCCTAAACCACTAAACCCTAAACCCTAAATCACAAACCCCTAAAGCCCCAACCCCAAACCCCCTAACCACAAACCCCTAAACCCTTAAACCCTTAAACCCCTAAATCCCTAAACCAAAACCCCTAAACCCTTAAACCCTTTAACCCCTAAACCCTGAAGCCCCTAAGCCCCTAAACCCCTAAACAAAACCCCCAAACCCCTAAACCCGAAACCCAAGCCCTTCGCTAGAAGATTGGAATTCTTCAAGGGTCCCGACTTGGCCGCCGAAGTTTCTCACCCAGGGTTTAGGGTTTAGAGTTCATGGGTTCAAGGTTTTGGGTGGGAAAAACAGCAAGAAGAGCCCGTAGTTTTGTTGGCTGTTGATAGGGCATTCCTTTTTTAGCTTCTACACGCGTTCTGCCCACCTTCCTTACCCCCTCTTCTTAAATAATCGCCGGACCCAAGCTGTTCAAGCTTTTCAAGACGGATCGGATCTGCGTTTCCAAGAAGTTTACATCATATAGGGGCCTTAATTATCAGAATAAGGCTTTGAGGTATATTATACTATATGCACAATTCTAATAAGGACCTCCCCCTCCAACAAAAAAACAAGAACATAGTATGGGCAACTATTTATTCCGGCCCCTGTATATTATAATTTATGAGGCAGGCACTGACAGGCATTCCCAAACCATTTCATGGATGCATCCGAAATACTACGATCTGGAATGTCGAGCCGTAACTTCCCCTAAACCCTGGAGCCTAAAACTTAAACTCTAAACCGTAACTCAAGAGGCCAGTGCCTCACCATAGGCAAAGTTGCCGATGAAGAGGTTCATCTGCACGATGGTTATGCCTCATGATCTCGCAGACCCAACCCCCCCTTCCCGCCACAAAAAAAGCCGAGCTCCCTGATATAGGAGCCTGAGTAATTAGAAGACACCCTAAACCCTGAACCCTAGACCCTGAACCCCAAACCCTAACCCTGAACCCCAAACCCTGAGCGCAAACCCCAAACTCTAAACCCCTAAACCCTAGACCCTAGACCCTAAACCCTAAACCCTAAACCCTAGACCCTAAACCCTTAAACCCTAGGCCCGAAACCCTAAACGCGGACCGGCGCCCCTCGATGTTCCTCATCCCGATCGGGCTTCGGGTTTAGGGTGTACCTGGAACCCAAAGAACCTACCTTTTGAGGGTTCCTTACTATGATTTCTTTATGACTTCTTTATGTCAGTCCGTAGAAAGGTAGGTTATTTGGGGATACGGTAGGGTTTAGGGTTCAAGGTTCAGGGATAGACTACTCCCTGAATAAGCTCCCATGAATAATCGTAGTGACCACGGAGGATACTGATAATCATGAGAAATACCTCCATATTCTGGTCTGAAGTTGACAAATCTCTGGGTGCAACCTAAATCTAAACCCGAAATCCCTAAACTCCTAAACCCTAAACTTCTAAACCCTGAGACCCCTGAAGCCCTACACCGACTGACATCCAGGAGACCAAATGCCACGAAGTAGAAGAACAGGTGGACGAAGGGATGGTCCTGCTTCGTGATTTCTGGGTTTCGGGCGTTCTGGCTTCAGGGCTGCAGGACTTTACGGGCTGTAGGGCTTTACGGGGTTTTAGTATTTCGAACATGGGGGGTTGTAGAAGCCCAAGAAACTACAGACAACTGCATGGACGTGACATTGAGTGCAGTCCGGCCTGTGGTGCTTTGACGACGGCTTGAGGGCAGATTCATGCAGATGCCCCATGCCAGCATGTCAAAACAAGGACTCCCAGCCGGGACCTAATGCACGTGCACGAATAACCTGGAATTCCATGAGCCTGCAGGCTGCCCACGACATGCAACGAGCAGTTTGGGCCCTCTTGGAGAGCTCATAGGTTCTCGTCAAAGGCTGTCGAAGTCTTGTTTCCGCCGGCTTGCGCGTGAGGAAAGCTTTTGCAACCACAGGTGAGCTGTTCACATATGCGCACATTAGACCACGATCCACTCCATCACGAACCAAGAAAAGCTTGCGCATGCAACCCCTGCTTGCCAAACGTTGCAAGCTACAAGGAAGCGACAAAAACATCATTTTGAACCTCTCCTGGATTCCTGTGCTGCAAGAAATAAAACTGCAGGGGCTACTGGAACCAAATACCCGAACGAGTAACCGGAACATCCTAAAATCTTTGAAACCACCAGCCCCGCAACACTGCGGGAGGTAGACATAGACATCTCCGGTCGTATCAACTATGTACAGTAGTTCTTATGTTTTCTATATAGAGTTTCGTGCTGGTCTTATTTAGTCTGATTGGGGTGCTAAGATGGTACTTGTGGAGTTTCTTGAGAGATCTACGGCGTTAACCCTAAACCCTAAACCGATAAACCCTAAGGGGCTTTATAGAATTTCATAGTCTTCTAGGGCCTCTAGACCCTAGATCCCCAAGCCCTAGACCCCTGAACCTCCAGAACCCCCGAACCCCTAAAGCCTAAACCCTAAATAAACCCTAAATAAACCCTAAACCCCTAAACCCCAAACCCCAAAACCCAAAAAGCCTACACCCTGAACCCTTATGAACCCAAAACAAGGATTAGAATAGGGTTTTGGGGCTCATTTATAGTATACTTATATTCAGGAACCCTAAGGAATAACGTAGGTGTTTATTTAGGCCCCTATATTCGCACATTAAACTAACCCTGAATCCTAAACCCTGAACTAAACCCTGAATCCTAAACCCTGAACCCTAAGCCCCTAAACCCAAAGCCCTAAACCCTGAACCCTAAGCCCTAAGCCCTAAACCCTGAACCCTAAGCCCCTAAACTCCTAAACCTTAGGAACAACAAGGGCGTCCTCCCCCGGCTGCGGATCCTCGGGCTCCAGCACCCCGGCGGTCTCGCCTGGCTGCTGAGGTTAGGGCTTAGGGGTTTAGGGTTTAGGGGTTTAGGGTTTACAAAGGGTTAGGGTTTAGGGGTTTAGGGTTTACAAGGGGTTTAGGGTTTATGGGTTTAGGGTTTACAAGGGGTTTAGGGTTTAGAGTTTGGGGTTTAGGGTTTTTGTGGAGGTTTAGGGCTCAGGGTTTAGGGGTTTAGGGTTTCGGGTGGCTTAAGGGTTTTAGACTTAAACAAAAAGGGGTTGGGGTATGTGGTCGAGGGCTTAGAGGGTTGAGGGGGTTTAGGAGTTTTAGGGTTTCGGGTAAAAGCTTCATGTTTAGGGTTTAGGGGATAGTCTGGGGGGCCTGAGCCGCTGGAATGGGCTTTCGTGAGTAGTTCGAAGAGGGCGTATAAGGGTTCGATAAGGGTTTTCGCTGAATTATCCGGTTGCTATTAAAGGCAATAAAATAAAGTTCTGCAAGAATTGAAGGCCTTGATAATCAGATTTTGCTTTGGGGACAAAGACAGCAGATCCCAGAAAGTTGGAACATGGGTTTAGGAGGGTTAGTGCCAGGATCCCTCATACTTTACCTGAAGGGCATTAGGATAGTCATGTTCCAACTTTCTGGCTCTTACTATATGCTAGAGTTACAGCGGGACTACAGGGGCATGCCATTTCTAATCATTCAGCCTCTTTTTGTTAGGGCCTCGTGGGTTTGTGTCCTGTAAGGGTGTGGTTTGCGGCGCCTAGCAAGGGTTCCTAGAAGATTTGCTCTAAGAGCAACTTTCAGGGTCTGTTCTGGGTGTGGGGCTTAGGATTAGGGTTTGGTCAAGACTAAAAAGCTTCTGGGTTTAGGGTGTCGGGTTTGGGGTATATTCTGGTATTCTGAAAAAAGGATACTCGTATACAACTTATTCCTAAACACGGAAAACATATCTTTTCAATTCTACAGAGCCTATAAGGCCTACAAGGGTGTACCAGTACTAACCATGCCAACACTAAACCCTAAACCCTAAACCCCTAAACCCCTAACCCCGAAACCCCTAAACCCTACACCCCAAACCCTAAACCGTAAACTAAACCCTAAACTAAACCCCTTGAATTACATACACTCGAATCCGGAAGTCGAGGCGAGGAGTATCCGGCTCTTTCATGCTTGACTCTCGGCAGCAACTGGGTCTAAAAGGTTATCGACATAGCTAGTACAATAGTATCCCAGTGTCGTAAAGTCCAAATGCCGCCATACTACTACACGACTAGGGCGATGTGCGCAGCACCCCGAGCTAAACCCTAAACGCTCAAACCCTAAACTCCTAGACCCTATTCCCTCAAGCCCTTATTAAATCCTACACCCAAGTTCTCTCAGTCATGAGATTCCGTCCAGCTAACATGCCAGAAAAGACCGGGAACGAAGATGGGATCCTTGGCTGGTGTTCGAATTTTTTCTGTCCCGATAAACCACAAACATAAACTGATGAACTATCAGATTACATACTACTAAACTGTAAGAACCCATTGAAAGATGGATTTTGGAAAACTAAGATTGTCCCGAGGCCGAACAACAGGGGCCGTACTCGTTCGAATAGGCTGTTGTTGAAGGGGTTCTACAAGAATCTGATCGGTTTTCACGGTTCGTACAAGGCTTCCACAGTGTATCGGGACATTTTGTACTTTATTACACTGTAGTCACTGGTGTTGTATGTCTGGGTCTACAGGGGCACAATGTTCACCATGATTCCGACCCAAGGACCCAGCACCCATAGCGAAGTAGCACACTGCTTGCAATAGTTGTAAGGGTGTACTGTAGCGCCCGCTGCAACCGCGCAAGCTTTACTTTCTCTTCTGGCATTGTTCTCGTAAGTCGCCACTCAAGAATCGTTTGAACCATTTCACCAGGAATGCCAAAACTAGTCATGAGAGTTGTAGAACCAAGAATAATCACTCGAGGTGGACGCTCTTGCTCAAATTGAACACTCTCGTCTTCAATACCCAGGCACAACAAAGTTCAGACTTTTTAGGATAGACTTGATATATAAGGCCAATAAGTTTCCATTGGCTATCTAAGAACAACAACGTCCCATCACTTCGAAACCAAACAAAGACTCGCCTTCATCCCCCAGCGCCCCCGTTAATGTAGGGGCCTTAATAATTAGAATAAGGTTTTGGGGGGTTGCTGTAACGGGTTCCTTCAAGGATTCTATAAGGGCTACTATAAGGGTTTAGGGTTTAGGGTTTAGGGGACTTAATACCTTAGAATAGGGTTTTGAGGGTTGGTTCCTTATTGTAATTATAGTATACCATATCCCCAAACCCTATTCTAATTGCAAAGGCCCCCATGTTGTATCCTCCGAGAGTCAACGAATTCCAGCTCGTAGAGATCGAAGTCGCCGAGGAAACCCAATCGGAAAGTCTTCCTCGAGAGAACTTCCACGCAAGTGTCGGGGCTGCAAAGCCATATTATGAGGTCACAGAACCTCTATTCTACGGTTGATGATATAAATCCTGCATTACCCATAATAAGGAATATAGCATAATTCCCATAGCTTAGGGTCCGTAAGGTAATGCAGGATTTATATCATCAACAGCATTGACGACAAGTCTACACAAGGCCGAACGCTGCACAGGAAACTCAAGCTACAGCTCGAGAAGAGAAGACCCTAAACCCTAAACCCCTAAACCCTTCATGTAGGGGCCTTAAGAATTATAATTAGAATCGGGTCTTGGGGTACCTTATAGTAGAATCGTAATAAGGAACCCCCCCAAAAAAAAAAGTATAGTAAATCATTAAGGCCCTTAAATTCAACCCTCACAGTAGAATCATAATAAGGAACCCCCAAAATAGTATAGGAAATTATTCAGGATAATGAAACCCTGAACCCAAGCCCTTCAGACTTCCAGTAGAGCGAGACTCGAGGAAAGCCAACATGACGTCACGTGTACAGATCCTCGCTGCTCGTGTCACCCTAAAACAACAAACCCCTAAATCCTAAACCCTTGACCCTAAAACCCTAAACCCTAAACCATCAACCCTCAACTCCAAAACCTCAAAACCTAAGCCCTGAACCCAAAAGCCTCAACCACCAAACCTAAACACCACTCTGTTTTTAGCACGTCGTCCTGCGAGGGTAATATAGGTGCCTGAATAATTACCTATACCATTTTTTTGGGGGGGGGTTCCTTATTATAGTAATAGCATAATCTACCCTCCAAAACCCTATTCTAATTATTCAGGCCCCTGTAGTAGCTCTGCGCCATGAACCCCCACCCCAAAACCGTCACCTTCAACGGCCAAAAGCCAAAAAATGTGAAACGGTTTAGGGTTTAGGGCTTATAGGGTTTCGGGTTTAGGGTTTAGGGTTGAGGGGCCCCCTCCAACCAAGTTCCAAAGCGAGGATCTCGAATGCTCGGTAGAGGCCCGACGGCATGTTCGGAATACTCAGGACGAAGTAGCCTTGGGTCTTCGGGCGTCAACGATGGAACTTGGCGAAACCCTGAATCCCAGGGTTCTTTAGGGTTTAGGGTTTAGGGTGTAGGGATTAAGACTACGACTCCTGCATTTTTGTGCTGGGATTGTTTAGACAAGGCTCATCCTAATCAGGGTCCGACGTCAGAAAGAAGAACCCTTTCTCTTGCTACCATACTCGCTGCTACTCTGTTTGTTCAATTGAGTAGGGACCTGCGCCGCCCAAAAAAAGAAGGGAACGACGATGCGACCGGGGAACCAGTGCAACCCTCAAGCATCTATAAGCCCTAAAGCTGTTTTGCGGGCTCTTCCTCTGTCGTAGCAAAACCATTATTGCTGGTAGCCTCGGTTGGGTCGCTGAGGCTCCGAGGTAAACCCCAAATCCTAAACCCCAAACTCTTCAACTCCAAATCCTAAACCCCTCAAAACCCTAAACCCCTAAACCCTAAACCCTAAACCCTCAAACCCTAAACCCTAAACCCCTGAACCCCTAAACCCTAAACCCCCAAACCCTTAAACTCCAAATCCTAAACCCCTAAACCCCTAAACCCCTAAACCCTAAACCCAAACCCCTAAGCCCTAAACCCCCAAACCCCTAAACCCTTACATGCCTTCCACCCCATATACCGTCAACCTCCTGAAGCCTCGGAGCTCCTACCCCGCTGCGCCACCATAGCTTTCAGGGTTTAGGGTTTAGGG